TTTCCTTTATAGACCTCAGGGAGTTCAGGCCTTTTGAGCACTAGCTACCTGGACTCCTTGCTTGGTGCCTGCAATTAATGCTATACTTTCTCCTTCGTCACAACCCAGTGTCAGTAGATTGGCAGGTGGACCCCAGTTTGGTTCAGTAACACTCTTAGAATTCTAAGCAGGAAACAAAGGCAGGAGCCCTCTACCCTTGACCCTCCTTGTTACATTCATTTAATCAATACATGCAAAATTAGGACACACGTTTCCTGACTCTCTTCCCTCCTCCTTTCCCTGCTGGAAAACAGGCAATCTTTCCTTGGACTTTTCCTATATTATATCTTCCTTCTACTGTCAGAAAGCAGGCCTCCTGCTTATAGACTATAAAAGTTTTCACTACCATTGGCTGAAGGGCTATCCTTTCCATGCTCCATGGGAAATCGATGTGCTGGGTCATCCAGTTTCAGCCCCTGGTGTGTTGAAGGGGAAAGATTAAGCAATTTATATGATTCTCTCCAAGTTTCTTGTATACACATTTTTTTTTCATTTCAGAAGATATCATCTGTTTTTATCCTTCATTCTTTCTGAAACATCCATTCCTCGGATGGAAACATAGATACTGAAGAAAAATAGAGGGGAAAGAAACAAACAGAATTAAAGAATACAGAATTTCAGGACCTTGCCTAGCAAAACAGGTCAATTTCAAACAAACAGTTCTGATATTCAAAGAAACTGAAAGCAAGTTGCCCTTCTTAGAAAAAAAAATGAACCTGAAAGACTAACAGGTGATCAAAAAAGAGATGAAGAGAGAACAGGGGATGAAAAGTGAGTTTATGGAGCTCAGGAACAAGTAGAAGAATAAAATGAAACTATTACAGAGGTGAACTTTTTACTAGATGCAATAAAAAGTAAAATAGATGTGGATGAAAGCAGAGTTGGATACCAAGAAAACAGGCTTGAGGAAACAACAAAATGAAATGAAAAAGGACAAAGGAATAAAAGAGAAAGAAGATAGAAAATATAGACAACAAACAAATAATCACCATTCTGGAAGAAAAGAGCATACAAAATGGGGGGTGGGTTAGAAATCAAATGCATAATTGAATAAATGTTCCTAAAACAAAGACTTATATCTATAGATGACAAAGACATAGCTTAGCCAACACTCCAAAAATCTGACTACTGATTAATTAGACAGATCCCAGAAAATGGATTTAGGAGGGACGTTGTAGTAAGTTACACAACCAAGAAATAAGAAAGAACATGAACCAAATCAGCCGAAATAAGAAAGAATAAGAGGAACTGAATTCAGGATATTTAGGATCCTGCCATGTTGGAAGGCAGCATTGTGTGGTTGTTAAAGGGTCAGCTCTGTAATAGATCCCAGCCCTGCTCTCATTAACCTGCGTCCTAGACAAGTTATTTTCCCTCTCTGTGCCTCGGCTTTCTTGCCTTTAAAATGGTGATAATCATAGCCACCCACATAATAGAGTGATGCTGAAGAGTGAATGAGATGATATGTTTAATCTTCTTAGAAAAAGGCTTAGTCTAAAATAAGCACTAATTACTATTCAATTGAACAGAGCTTGGTAATTTTCTGAAGGTGGAGAGTCAGAGAGGGGAGAGACAAAGATGAGTCCTAGGTGTCACAACTGGGCAATCAGAGCATCAATCATTATCAAGGAGAATCTGGAGGGGGAGATTATAAAAACACCCCCAGTTGTGAAGAATTCATTTTGAACATTTCACGATGGAGGCATCTTTGGGCAGACAGGTAGAGCTGCCCTGTGGGCACCTAGGGGATCAATGGAAACAAAGACGAGGAGAGAAGTGATGGAGTAAAGGCAGCAGGGCTTTGGAGAGCCCATGGTCAGGACCACAGATAAATGCTTATCCTCCTTCAAAAGGACGACACTTCTCCCATGAAAGAGCAAGAAAACCATAAGGACGTATGTGGAAGCAGATACATTTGTAGACTGTAGTTGGTAACGCTGAAAAGAGTTCCCACCTGGGGCTTCAGTTTTGTCTATAAAGTGACAGGGAGGTCACCTGTGGCCGAAGATGGGAAGTCTGTGCAGGACTAAAGGTTAGGAATAATAGTTCATGATAAGAGGGCAGCCAGAGGTGGCCTCTCTCAAAAAAAAAAAAAAGCTTCATTGAGGACCCAGCAGACATTAAATGAAAAGTATGAACTATAGTATTGCAAGCCAAAAAAAAAAAAAAGCCAAGGTTTTTTTTTTTCCTTCCAGCAATCTTTCCAGTGTTCTGAACGTAGGAACAAGATCTAGGATGCAAAATTTATTACATGGCTACTTTTACTGTAAAACAAAGTAGAAAATAACTCAATTTAGTCCATTTCAAGATTTACCTGGCAGTGTGGTGTTGGCTTCTGCTACAAAATACCTGTATCCTGCCTCACATCCCTATTGTCTTCCAAAAAGACTTTAATCGGAAAATAAAATCTCTCAGAGCGTACAATGGAAAGTATTTCCTAGAATTTTCTAAAAGTAATGAGAAGGAAGCTTGAATATGCTGATTAACATGCAAGCTAGTTATTGGACAAGGCAAGATTATTGTTTTAATATCCTCTCTTTCAGTGACTCTAGAAGATTACATAACTGATTGTATAACACACTATATAAAGTACAAGGCTTAATCTTAGAAACATCAATCTCATATCTGAGTTTTCATATTTGGTATAAACATCTGGAGGATTTCTTTCTCCTCCATCCAAATAGTTTAGAGCTCTCATAAAGGACACTACACAACATAACAGACGTCTTAGAATTCATTATTTCCAATAGTTAGTGCACATAAGTGCATTTCTGTTCACTTTTAGCATTTGGTAGTCTGTTGCAAATTGTTTGGAGTGTAAATAGGAAATCTCTTCAATGATCATATCAAAGATACAGTTTATTACATATTTTAAACATCATTCACAAAACAACCTTAGGGCATAAGATTGACAGTAAACTCCCTAATCAATGGAGTCATTGCTTTCCCTCTTTCGAGGAGTCGGTTAGCAATATAAAAAAAATCTTGAAGAAATGAGTCAGCAAATGCGGGGCAAGACAATTTATTGAAGGATAATGAATCACACTGAGGCGAACAAAAAAAATGAGAATGAAGATAGACTGTGATGATAATAAGTTAGTTTGAAATGATGGGGAAAGACAATTGTCAACATCATGCTATGATCTGTGTGGCATATTATGACTTCCAGGAGCCTCTGGCTGTAATCTCTGGGTTAGAAGTGGGCATAAACACTTTTCAGAGTCATGTTGTAAGTGGATATCATATCACAAAAAACCAACGCCTCTCTAATAACTCATCACACATGTGGCATCTCTACACATTATCGTAGCAGAAACTTGCTCTGATTTGACTAGTAAAATATGAAATATGCCTCTTCCATTCTACAATAACCCATTCGTCTTTACTGGTTAGATTTTCCAGATTACCAACACTTGTTTTTCTGAAGCCTGTGCCATCAATCCTTTGTCAGTTCTTTACTACTATTACTTGAATTTAAGAAAGTTGCAATGCAAAAACAATTTTGGTTACAGTTATATTCGGAGATAAGAGTACTAAAAATCCAGCAACACATTTGAAAACCCAGCAAAGGGTTGGCTCTTAGTTGCTTTGATGACTTTATTTGATGCCTAGTAAACAAAACAGGGTGCCCAACACTCCTTTTCTCCTTATTCTCAACTTCTGTTACATACTCTATTTTAATAAATTATTTAGCCTCTGTTGTTCTAAGTTCTTAGATTTTTTTCACATCCCAATTCTCCAGCTTCCGGTGTGTTATTTCCTGTTATGAGATGAGTCAACATAGTTTGTTTTTTATTGTTGGTTTGCAAAGAGAGGCAGGCTGGCCGGGGTACGTGGGGATGTTTCACAATGCGAGTTCCTTCCTGTATGTGTACACGCACGCGCACGCACACTGGCCCTAGGTAAGAAGTTGCCAGATCTTTAACGTCTTCAAACCACCCTTTCTGGATCTTTTCCCCCTCCTTTTGGAAGCAGGTCCTGCAGCCTGGATTCTCCTTTCTTCTTTACAAAGAGCCTGCTGTGGGTCACAGCTCCCGGGGCTCCTGGGTTGCAGTGGCCTCTTTTCTTCAAGAATGAACGTACTGGGTAGCAAAGCAGAGAGAGGGAGGCTTGCCCCAAGCTGGCAGCCTCCGTATTTCTGGGACATCAGTGCTGCTCCTTCTCACAAGTTACATCCTGTCTGTGGACAGACTGGCCCAACAACAAGATTGTATCTGTTAAAGTGAAACTTGCTCCGAAGGGTGTGGGTTGGAGCAGAGTGATGTGGGGGATGGGAGAGTTAAAATAGGAAAGTGGTTTCGCAGCCTTTCAAAATCCTATATGTATATTTGCCTATATATATATATATATCCTATATATATATATATATTTGCCTATCAAAATCCTACATATCAAAACATACTCAGTCAAGGCAATCCTCATGACTTTTACTGATATTTTGTTCTAGAGGACAGCAATATTAACATATTCTAGAAAAGAAAAGCTTGACTTTAGTAAAATATCATTGAGAGATATTTTATGATATCTAAGATCTTTTATATCTAGAGACATATATCATTAAATGTTACTGACAAAAATTATTTTGAACTTATTTCAGACACTGAAGTTTAATGAAGTCTTAAACGTATAGAATTACTACATGCACATACTAAGTAAACATGAAATAGGTGAGTGGAATTAAAAGAGAGGCACTCAAATATTTTAGATTGTCCATTCCTTAGATATGTTTGGTTTTCTGTGTGAGAGTGTTTGTCACCCTAATTCAGTGACTTTTAACAGTACTTGTGTTAGGATTTTTTTTCCTAGTGCATGGAATAATTTATTGTGGGAGAGCTGAAAAGTTGCTCTCATTTGCTAATACTCCAAAGCATCATTTATTTGCTCATGGAAAGAACTAGAAAGATTGGTTCCAAATTTAAAATGTCACCCTAGTAATGAAGTATTTAAAAATGAGTAACCACGTGGCAGAAATTTGATACTGATGACTAAATTTGCTGTCATGCTTCATTATTTTTAATAGTGAAACCAATGAGAGAGCTATGCTTTAGACACTAATTACTACCTTAGAAATATGAACCTCCATGAGATTATATGGGGATATCATGTTAAAGTACTCCCAATAAAATAAAAAGCAAAGCTCAGAGATGCAGGGAAGAGACAGACTGAGTGAAACAAGGTGCCAGCCAGACACTGGGCTAGATGCTTCCCAGACCTTATGTCATTGAATATTATGGTTAGATAGGAAATTTTTTAAGTTGTGGAGGTTATCTTTTACTAAGTCAGACTAACTCTTGATTCAAATGTTCATAATGCAAAGATCATTTGCTCTGCCCTATGCTTCTCTTGCACATGGTTTTCCTTTTTTTAAAAGTCCTGTTTCTTGAATCATCACCTGCCTTGGGCTTGGTGTGGTAGTTTCTGAATGACTGGGTTAGCACGTCAGTTCACCTTTCAAAATATTTCCAGGGCAGGCCACTCATTCAGCATCCCAGGTGCCTAATGAATTGTGTTCCTCTCCCCAGCCCACTGAGCAAGATTTCAAAGCCTCCTTTATCTCTCTGGGTGGATACAGAGTCATTAAGCTTAAATATGCCCTGTGCCAATAGACTTGAGGGTTGGGTTTAGTTATTATTAACTTGGGGAGCCTCCACCCAGCTAACTATTCTAGGAAATAACTGGATGACTCAGGTGCTTTTATATTCATCTTTCAGCAAACCAGTCATCTTCCCTGAGCACTGTGGCTGGAGGTGAATGTCCCAGCAAGTTTGCCATCATGTCTCCATCACTACACAAACTCCGTGGCTAACAAACGAGAAGGTGTGTGGCTAACAGAATCCTTTTTGTTTTCTTGTAAATATTGACTTGTTTGTTATAAAAGGTCCATAACTATTTGCTCCTTGCAGCTTTGCAGAGGCTGAGAGCTATTATCATAAAGCACAGAGTGGCACCTTCACTTAGGGAGTGTGGACGTGGGATTTAGAAGTGAAAGGATGATGAAGTGGGACTGAAACCTGAGTTCGATCTCACCTGGAAGAAAAACAGCACTGAGAGCATCTGCCCGTCTTTCCACTCAAAGACTAGCCTCCCTGGTGTGATTTCCTTAAAGCAGCCTGTGGTGTGACAGCGCCAAGTGAGACAACTCCGGTGACGCCCTCCCCTCCAGCCAGGCGCACACCTGATTCACAGACGCTGGAGGGAGGAAGAGGGAAGAGGATTTCAGAAGCACAGCCAGCTGGGCCCCTCCCCTACCTCCTAAAAGCAAATATAGTTAGTCCTCATCTACTTGGGAGCTGAGCAGGCTCTTAATTCAGAAAACACCATGACCAGCACTTAATTTCCTAAGTGTAAGGACATAAGGGATATATCATCTTCTGGATGAAAAAATTCTCCTGAAATAAAATAAGAGTTAATATTTTTTAGGGGGAGGGTATAGTTCACTGGTAGAGCACGTGCTTAGCATACATGAGGTCCTGGGTTCAATCCCCAGTACTTCCATTAAAATAAACAAATAAACAAACCTAATTATCCACCCCCATAAAAACAAAACAAAAACGAATGAGCTAATTTTGTATTAAATACTTATTATTTGTATTAAATACTTATTTTTTTTATTAAACACAGTGCAGTAGGTGCTAAGGCCAGCACCTTACCTGCTTTTGCCTATGACAAAGTTCACAACATCTGCAAAAAATTTCATTATTTCACTATTTTATAGATGAAGAAACTTAGGACAGCAGCTTGCCCAGAGTTTCACAGCTGAGCCAAAATTTAAAGCAAAATTTTGTGTGTTTGTTTTTAAGAGCCAGAACTATTGACAAGTATATCACATTACCTATGGAGTAACCAATTCAGTAAAACGAATATGACTAGCATGGAGCCTGCCTGCCTAACCTTACAATTAGTTTGTATTGTATACATAATAACTTATTTTGGCATAAAAATTTTTACCACATTTTAAAAAAATCACAAAATGTTGAAACTTTCAAAGTAAACATTTCACAACAATGAGAAATAACTCTATCAAAACCTGGGTAAAATTCATAACACAGACAGCATCAAGATTCATGTCAAAGGCAGTGATCCCACTGAAAGTCACAAAGGAAAAAAAAAACACAATTCAGTATTCACAGTAGCACTATTTACAACAGCCAAGACATAGAAGCAATCTAAGTGTACATCGACAGATCACTGAATAAAGAAATTGTGGTATATATATATATATATATACATACACAATGGAATACTACACAGCCATAGAAAAGAATGAAATAATGCCATTTGCAGAAACATGGATGGCGCTGGAGATCATTATTCTAAGTCAGATAAGCCAAAAAGAGAAAGAAAAATATCATATGATATCACTCATATGTGGAATCTAAAAAAAAAAAGAAAGAAAAAGACACAAATGAACTTATTTACAAAACAGAGACAGACTCACAGACATAGAACAAAGTTATGGTTACCAGAAGGGAAAAGGGGTGGGAGGGATAAATTGGGAGTTCGAGATTTGCAGATACTAACTACTATATATAATGTAGATAAACAACAAATTTCTTCTGTATAGTGCAGGGAACTATATTCAATATCTTGTAGTAACCTATAATGAAAAAGAATATGAAAAGGAATATATGTATTATATGTATGACTGAATCATTATGCTGTACACCAGAAACTGACACAACATTGTAAACTAGCTATACTTCAGTTTTTTAAAAAAATTTAAAAAAAAGGATACAGATTTGACAAATATGGGTTGGAGGGCTTAGGTGTTCTTTATAGTCCTCTCTATGTTACTATATGTTTGAAATATTTTACATGGAAATATATTTATAAAAAGACAGGTCATTACTTATGCAGAACTTCTGGCCATTAACCTTACCTTAAGGCTGCCCTAGGTAACCATGTGCTCTGACTTCATGTCAGGCATAACCAAAAAAATAATAAAAAGAAAATCTGTGAGGCAAAAGCCTATCTTAAGTGACTTTTTTTCTGGAAAAAATATTTAAAAACTCTAGAGTCAGATTATTTTAACAATAAATTCTAAAATCCTGTGTGATATAATATACTCTGTTAAAAAAAGGTTCCAAATTTATTTTACAAACTTAGTTCAATCTTGATACCAAAAAATGACAACTACAAAGGGAACGAGGGATGGGAGGGAGAGCAGGGAGGGAGACAGAGAAGAAAGGAGAGAAAATTAAACACAATATCATTTATGAATACAGGTGGAGAAAATGCTAAATAAAATTCCACCAAGTTAAAATCAAAAGTCTATTAAAAAGAAAAAAATTAACCCCCACCATGGAAATTTTACCATGGAATGGAAGGGGAGTTTAATATAGGCAGCTAGATATATAGCTCATAGCATTTATAGTTCAAAGGAGAAAATTTAAATAGATAGCAAAGGGTACCTAGTAAATTTAACACCAATTCTTGATATTTTTTTTAATCCTCACAGTAAACTAGGAGTACATGGATATTTCTCAAACTTGATACAAATATTTTCTATTATGTTAGTTAAGGGAGCAGTATTGGCTACAACAGATAAACCCTGAAATCTCTGCAGTTTAATTAAATATTTAGTTTCTTATTTCTATGATGTCCAACCAGTGGCAGTGTCAAAGAGGTGAAGAGACGGTGGCTTTAGGAGGGTCATGTGTGAGGTACTGGCCTCAGGATCATTAAGGACCTCCACTATCCTCAGCACATGACCTTTAAGGCCACCCTGAGAACTGACATTTAACCAGCAATTTGGGAGAGAGAGAAAATCATACATGGGAAATATGTGATATGGGTTAGATCAGGAAGTGGTGCTCATCACTTCATGAACATCCCACTAATGAAACTTAGTCACATGGTTGCTTCTAACCGTAGGGAAGGCTGAAGCTATGATGTACAGTGTGCCAGGAGAGAGAGAAACGGGTTTTTTGAAGAGCTGGCCAGACTCAGCTGGGCCTATCCTCCTGGTCATCACATAGTCTTTCCCTCTTCTTCCTACACACACTACTTACCCCATTCCCAAGAGAAGCAATTCAAAATCCCATTCAGTTACTATATCCAACTCAGTATCAAGGTTCTCCAGGTGATGGTCTTTCTCCATCGGGTGAGGATGGAGCCCACAGAGTCCAGACCCTTATGAACCAATATGATAAATTACCTTCCCATCTCCTTCCCCTAAATACACACATACACATCACTACACAAAAAGGGGGTCCTACTTCTTATATAAACTCCTTTTTGGCTTTTGTCCTATTGTTTTGGTACTTTCACCATTATAAAAGAATCTTCCTGCTGAGAAAATAAAAAAACCCTCATGTCTAAATAACAAACTTCATCTCTACTGAGTGAACAAGCAGTAAGTAGTCTGCCACCTTAAGCCACCTTAGTTAAACCCTCCTTCTGACCCCATCTGCCCCAGGCAACCTTTTGCTGCTTCTGCTGGTGTTATTTCCATCCCAGATGCAGCCTTCAGAGGCCTTGCTAAGAAATCTGCACTTGACCCTAAATCGCTATGGAAGAATTTTAACCATGAGCGTGATAACGTGATGAAATCTGCATTTGGAAAAATCACTCAGCAGTGTGGAGGGTGACTTGGAGGGGCATCAACCAGAAGCCACAGACATTCAGAATAAGCTGAAAAAAAGAAAACAGAAAAAGAAGAAGAAGCAGGGCTAATTTGGGGCCCTGTTACTATCAGCAAAATAAAACACAGTTTTAGAAGAATGACTATGCTCAAGAGACCTTGTACTTATCAGCCCAGGAATGTCAAAGGTCTTTTGTTTGCCTTGTGTAAATAGATGGACTAAATAATAGTTTCTTCATCAAATTTAAAAATCACCTAACATTGAATTGTGTGCTCTCTCTCTGCATGAAAGAAAGGCAGACTATTAATTTGTTTACAAAGGATTTATGAACGGATTGCAGGCGGGACTAATTTTATTGCCTTACTATTGGACTGTGTCTAGCAAGTCTAAAAATAATATATTAACTCTTTACAGGTTAAAAATAGGTAAGTGAGTTTTATTTCGAATTTTTTCTCAGAGGCCCAGAACTTTAAATTAAATACTATCATAACATGTATTCTTCATGAGCTGATTCATTCAATGAGATAAAGCATATGAAAGCATAAACAAGCTTGTGAAAACACAAATATAAAGCATGACATTCATTGAAGCCTGCTTTGTGCAAGGCACGGGGCCAGGCAGAAAGAGGATCAAACACATTCTCTGCCTTAAAGGAGCTTGTAAATCATGTAAAACTCAGTGTAAGATGAGTACCTTCCCGTGCCAGGACGTGACATACGAAGCGTTTATGATTCCTCCACAAATAGAATCACTTTAGCTCCCAAATTCAGAATCCAAAGGGAGGGCTTGCAAATCACTGAGCAGAGCCAAATAGGCACTAAATCGAGCTATCAATCATCTTCCTGCTTAATGAAATATCCTGAGAAAAATTGTACAGGCATAATGAAAGCAACAAGTTGAATAGAGCTGACAAGTTACCTGCACAGGAGCAGCACAGACTCGTGGAGGCTGTGGTATGAGCATCCTGCTCTCATACAGAAGAAGGAACCAAGGGCTAGGCTGGTTACATGGCTTCTCCAGATTCACACTGTTTGAACTCAGGTTTTCACATTTTTAATGCAATCATAGTCTTTTCATTTTACCATATCAACAGGTTGAAGATTAGTCCTACCTGGGCAAAGCTAAATAGTAAGTATTTTCTGCATCAAGATATAGTCCAGCTCAAACCTTTCTACTTTGTGGAGTTCTCTTTGAGAGAAAAAAGAATTTCAGAAAGAACATCTTCAACCTTTAATCACCAGGCTTTGCCTCCCTTGCCCGCCCTGGTCCACACTCTACTCTTTCCACGTAGTGAGTGAGAGCAATGGTAGGGCTCATTTCATTTGTTTCCTGTCTCTCAGGGATTATTGTCCAATATACTTTTTCTTGGAAACCATTATTTCTTTTTATTAAAAAAACTTTTTAGTTGCTTTATACAGGAAGTGATGGGTGGCCAGGGGTGTAATAAATCCAGTTCTTGGTACTCCATTTTGGCCTGAGTGGATGTTCATTAGATTTTTTTTAAGGCCTTTCACAATTTAGCACTTACCCACCTTTCCAACTTAGCCTTTGTCTGAACTGGTCATATTTCAGTCTTGGCACTTGGGTTCACTTTCTTACTCCTGCCAGAGATTCCATCCACCTTTTCCAGATGCAGTGCTACAGGACAGCTATGGTTGAATGCTTGTGCCCTTCCCAAAATTTATATGTTGAATCCTAACCTCCCCACTCCTGAGGTGATGATATGCATTGAGATGACAGAGCAGGAGTCCGGGAGGCCATGGTAGGTAGAATTCACAGGGTAGAGGACAGGAGAGGTGAGAACTGCACAGAGAATTCCGGAGAACTTCAGATCCCCCCTCAAATCTTCAGCTGAGTATTGAACACTCCATGTGTGTCAAAATACTACCTGAAGTTGGGGGGGAAAACACTTAAAAAGGATTAGAGTAAATAATCCTCAGAGCTCACACGAGGCTGGGAATAATGCCTCTTCCTACCATCATACTTCACGGAACATTAGAGTACTCACAAGGGTTGTGCCTCACAGTACGGAAAAATTAAACCTAAATGCTGCTCTTCTCCCATCTGAAAAAGCATAAAAGCAAGACCTGACAGGATTAAACTGTTTCCAGGTAACTTAGCTGCACCCCAGGACAAGCTCAAGAATATTTGCAGGAGCACAAAAATATTCAAAACCCAACAAGGTAAAATTTACAGTGCTGGCCATCAAATAAAAAATTATCAAGCACTCAGACAAGCAGAACAATACAATCCATCATAAGGAGAAAAGTCAGTCCATTGAAATTTACTCAGAAATGATACAGATGACAAGATGCAGATTAGTAGGCACAGACATTAAAAGAAGTATTATAACTGTATTTAAATATCCTAGAAACTAGA